TCATAATTAATAAGTCGTCTTTCTTCAAAGTTATTCTTACTTGACTGATGTTGATTTTCGTGTGTGCTTATCTTGTTTCTCTATACATATCTATTTCTTTTCTACTTGTATAGACTTCATAAATAGACGAAAAAATCATATAATGTTGCACTTTGATGGACGAAAACAAAAAATTAATTTTGTAAAATTTTGACCCATAGTGGCCGGATGTATCCAAATGAATACATCAAGCCATTCGATACGGAAACACTTTTTGGTTCTGAAAAATGAACTTTTCTTATCTCCATGCTCTAGAAGCAACAAAAATGCGCGAAAAGATTTTTTTGCTATCTGTCTTATGGTAGCCGGCTGGAAAGGGTTAACCAGAATGAAGAATTATACACCTTACAAACTCTGTTGTTTCTTGCATTTACGTGTGCATCTGACTGTTCTTTTAGTATTTACAATGACCGAACACCCGACCGTAGGCGACAATCAATCTGCTGAACGTCGCGAAAATAGAGAAGAGCACACACTGATTTGTTGTGATAAAAATATGAAGACGTCGCTAAGAATGCAGTCTATTACGTTCAGTCAACGCAATAAAAGTCAAAAATCTATATGGAATTTAAATGAAGAATCAGCCTCTTTTTTATGGTTCCACTTGCTCAGAAAAACCCTGCTAAAGATGCAACACACACCACTAGCGAAACAAGAAATGCTGGATAAATGTCAGAAGCATTATAACAAAGATCCATCAAAATTAAAAAGAATTCAAGAGTTTGCTGATACCTATAAAAAGGAGGAGGCTATCAAGTGGTTCACGAAGGATTCTTTTATCTACCGACTTCTTAATAGAGCTCTCCGAACGGAAGATATCAATGCTTTGTACATATTTCGTTTCTATATTAGTGACCTTTGTTCGAGCCTTGAAGAACGATGTGAACTTACAAAGGAGTTCATTAACGTTGGCAAGGTATATCGTGGTCTTCAACTTCATCAAGAACAGATTGATAAACTAAAAACAAGTATAGGCAGTTTGATATCGTTATACGGATTTGTGTCCACAAGCACAATCAAAGAGCTGGCTTTAATATATGCAGGAACCGACTGTAAGGATTTAGTACCGGTAATATTCGAAATCGACTTAGACGCTAAAACAGATCAGACTATATTTACTTATATAGCGTACGAGAGTAACTTTCCAGATCAAGAAGAGATTTTAATAGACATTGGCACGACGTTCAGAATTAAAGAAGTTGCTCTAGATAAAGGCGTTTGGACAGTAAGTTTAGCAGCAACTAATGAAGGTAGAGAGATTGTTAACGGCTACTTAGCCTTGCAGCAGTCCGAAGTAGCTGAAATAGGTACTACTATTTTATTCGGACGACTTTTAGCTGATATGGGTAAATACCAGAAATCACAAGGGTATTTTGAAGGATTGCTGAAAACACCAGACGGTGAAAATGTTGCCAATATTTACTACAATATTGGTCGCGCACTTTATTTGAATGGTAAATATGATGATGCTTTAACTTATTACATTCGTGCATACGAGCAAAGTCATCATCCACAATCTGCGATACAAGCAGCTCGAATATTAAATGGCATTGGAAATGTGTATTATAGCTGTAATGAGTATGATAAAGCTAGGAAACATCATTTAAGATCGTTGAAAATACGGCAAAAGATGCATTTAACCGATCATTACGATGTTGCTGAGAGTTTAAATGATCTGGCTGGTACTTATAGCAGTTTAAATAACCATAAGATGGCCGAGAAATATTATTCAGAAGCATTTAACATGTACCAGAGGACATTACCAGCGAATCACCATCGAATTGGAGAATGTTATAATACTAACGGTGTTATACTTCAAGAGAAAGGTGAATACGACAAAGCTCTAGTTGCGTATACAAATGCTCACAAATTGCGAAAACGAGTTTTGCTTCTAAATCACCCAGATTTCGCCGACAATCTGTTGAATATCGGCATGATCTATTATCATCAAAACGATTATGATACAGCCGAAAAATATTACAAGGACGCGTTGGTCATACAAGAACGAGAACTACCATCAGATCATCCAGCTCTGGCACGGACTATGCATGAAATAGGCGTCATTTATTATCGTCAAGACAATTACATGCAAGCGTTCAACTACCATGTAAAAGCTATGAATATCTTCTACAAAATGTTACCGGCTAATAGATTAAATTTTGCTCGTAGTTTACATGAAATTGGTACCGTTTCCTATGAACTGAATGACTATCAGATGGCTTTCGATTGTTACAAACAAGCTCTAAATATAAAAAAGAAAATTTTGTCCAATAAACACTATGATTTTGGTCGAACATTGAATAATATGGGTGCTCTTTATCATGCACTAGGAGAAAAGTCTGAAGCATTTAAATGTTATTCAAAGGCACTGAGAATATTTCAACAAACATTAGTCAGTGATCATGCCGATATTTTGAGTGTAAGAAGCAATACTGACAAACTTAGAAGTAGAGCAGAGCGTCTGATAGATTTATTCCGAGGCGCCTAAATAAATATATAAAACACTTCACCGCTACTGGACACAAAGAAACTATTATCTTGTTCTACCACTTTTAAGTATTGACAACGTATCAGAGAAACATAAGCAAACATCCGCAAATGTTCGAACTTATGACTTTTCGACACTTTATACTAGTATACCTCATAATCTACTGATTGAGGGTACGGAATGGATAGGAAGCAAAAGTCGTTTGTCTCAAAACACGGTTATATT